ACGAATTCAAGTAGGGATGAATGTACAATTTATGGGCTTATCTTTCTCTTTTGGACTAAAAGCTTTAACATGGATTTCCATCACCTGAACGCATTTTACGGAGCAGTGGTTTATGTCACCGCTGTTCTTGTGCAATGACATGTTAGGCAATCCTGGTCTAAATCCTCTTCTGCTTCTCGAACAGCCTTAGGACTAACAGCGTAAGTGATCTCGCTCACTCCACGAACAACGGGCATGGCGGGGACTCAGGTCTGTGTTTTCACCTCTGCAGGCCTTCATGTTCAGACACTGACTCTATGTTTTTCAAGTTTATATTAATTTTCAGCTTCTCTTAACATAAATTATTGATTCTGATAGCATACAATTAAAATTGGTTTCCAAGAAGTTTAACATTAAACATGTCATTTGGACAGATTTTAATTTTTCTTATTTGAAGAGCAGTCTAAAAATGATGCAGAGAATTTAGGATTTCTATTATTTAGAATTAGCGTTGTTGCCAAAAGTAGACAACTTTTAAAACTTTACTTTATAAATGCTTTTCATTATTAAGAATATATTATTTATAATTTACTATTTTACTACATATAATAAATTAGGCACTCAATCATATGACACAAAGCTTTATTTTAAAAATAAATTTAAATTATCATTAATGTTTCCAATATTTTTATCTTATTAAGCTGTTTTGTTGATATTTTTTGTTATGACTACAAAGTAAGTAATGTTCAAAACAAATGACTTCTAGTATTTTCTACATTGAGTGTTCAGTTATAATTTAGGTTTCCTAGGATATGCCTGTAAATGTAAAAGTATGCACACTGTTCCTGACTGATAAATGGTGGGATATTTCACTGCTTTCACGTTTGAGGAAGCTTCGACTGGTTCCTCATCCACTCACTGTGGGCATGGCTTCAGGTAATTAAGGCTGTGGAGGCTGATAGCCTGCCATCTCCACTCTGCCATCGTTTGCACCAGCCTGATTCACACCTGGTTGTCACCCACTTGACACTTGAGTATGCAAATCCTAATCTAGAGTTGACAAGAAAAGAGAAAGCCATTTGCAAAGTATAGTGGAAAGAAAACGTCTTTGCTCAGCATTCTTCAAAACATCCTCACTGTTGTCAAAGGAAATCCAAACTTCTTTTATATTAATAATAATTGCCACTTATTGAGCTCTACCTTCATGACATTTGTTTTTAAATCTAATTTTCCAACAAATGTATGTGGTTAATATTATTATCACCATTTTGTAAAGGAAGGAAATTAGACACAGGGTAATTAATAAGCTGCCTGAGGATATGCAGTAACCGTTACAGCTGGAATTCGAACCCAGGTTTCTCTGACTGCAAAGCTTGGCAATGTCGTTATGCATCTACATTGTCGCTCCCACATTGAACTTATATGCATTCCCCACTGCAGCCACGTTGGACTATTCGGACTCTGTCAGCTAGCATCATTCTGCTAGTGTTCCTGATGCGATGTCTTTCATTTCCATGTTCCAGCACTTAGCGTCATGGCTCACACTTGGTAGAAGGTCATTAAAAGGATTTTAGAAATGAATAAATGACAGTCTCCCCACTTCTCGCTTCATTTGTCAAATATATACATATGTGTGTGTGTGCACACGTGTACAAACATACGTTACTGTGGCTTGAGAGTTGTTACAAGCCTTTAAAAATGTCATGAATGATTTAGAACTTCATGTTGAAAGGGACAAAATAAAAGATTTCTCTTTAAAAACAGTCCTACTCTGAAGTTTGTTTTGATGGCATTTTAGATTTTCAAATTTTTGTACAGTGGGACAGCTTCATTAAGAAAATAAGACATGCACTAATTTACTATTTCTTAACTGTACAAATAATATTGTTTTAAAATAATACTGTCACAACCTTTGTTGTACACACACCTAGGTCTATTTCTGTGTGAGTATTTAACATACAAATGTAAATTTTGAGTCATGCATACAGACATTAGTCTAAATGTATGTATGTGAATGTACATAATTTACCAATCTGTGTGCGTATATAAAATTTTAAAAATAATTGCTTAAAATCCTGTCTTTAAATGGGAACAGTTTATAAGCATCATTTTTTACCAATCACCAAATAATGCTTCATGAACATTTGTAATGACTGCATAGTATTCTAATGTTTTGGACATATTGATTATTTTTTAACACTATAAATAATTCAGTGTATGCTGCATATAAATCTTAATAGCAGTACATTTTCCACTCAGTTTTTGCTGTCTGTCTATGTGTGTGTGTGTATATGTGTGTATGAAATGCTGTTAGAATGTTTAGAGTTGGCTCTTAAAAATTTTGAGGTCTGAGGTTTTCAGATTTTTTTCTATATTTAATTGTTGTCTTATTTTAAAATGTTAGTATAACTAGAAAATGGAATATTTTATATTGTTATACTCTACTTGCTATAGGAAAGATTGAAATTATCTTTAAAGTGGATTTGGTTGTGTATATGGGCTCAAATCCTTAGCAGTTATAGTTTTTGTGTCTAGAACTTCACAAAGAAAACCTGAATGGAATTGACTTACTTTACTTGTTACCACAATGTAGACACCAGGCGGAGGGCGTTGTGTGTCACGGCACCAGGTCTCACACCGGGATTACCAACCTTGCTGCTTAGTAGTTTGGTTATTTAACTTCTTATTCCATTAAAACATGAATAAGTATGAGTAGATTATTTTACACGCTACACAATTAAAGAGCTGTAGATTTTAGTAGAAATAAACTTAAAAAAAAAGTGTGCCATTGTCAAATAAATTTATTAATAGTACAAGTAGCAGTTTTAAAGTATTAACTCATTCTATTTGAATATTTATATTCAGATTCCTGGGATAAGATAAATTGTTCATAGGCATGGCATGAAGAATTTATAAAGAAGTAAATGAAGTTGAAAGCTTATGATGATGTAATGTGGAAAAAAAGAAACAATTTGTTAACATTTGCAGCTTAAAGAATCTTAATTCTTCAGTGGTTGACTTAATATCATTAATGTTTCACTCCATTTTATTTTTTTATTGTATTTGTTGCACGTTAGGAAAACAATCTAGATATAATTTCTAAAGGCCATTTCATGATTTTCCAAACATTTATTTCTTATATACCATTTTTTTAAGATTCTGTTCTAGTTAACTTGCATATCTCACTCAATTTTTTAAAGATTTTGTTCTAGTTGCTTGCGTATCTCACTAACTGCTTTGTCATTCTAACTTTCTAGTCGTTAATATACTCTTCCTTTATCTTTTCTTCTCTTCTAATTGTCTGTCTATGTTGCTCCTACATTCTTGGCTTATATTTGAGAAGTGGTAGGAAATATACCATACGTTTTATTGTTTTAATAGAAGTAATGGTATACAATAAACTTATTTAAAGGATAAAGACGATATGTTACTAAGTTGATCTTCTACAAGAGTCAGGTATGTACTAAGGAAAACTGTAACAAAAACAACAATAGCAAATATAATATAACAACCTTCCATAGATAAGTAAGGCTGAGGTTCTGTTAAATATTCTAATGGGGAGAGAAATTGGAACACTACTAGAGAAAGCATGTCAATCCCACAAACACTTCTAAGAGTGGACTAGAGCAAGATTTCTGTGATCTGTATGTATTTCACAATCTCAGCCACCACTTTCTATCATGCAATGCTTGTCTATGCAGCTTATTTTCAGCTTTCCAGAATAGATTATTCAGACTTTGTTTCTCAGATTAAAAAATCAAAAGTTACAACGCTAGATAGTATGCACTTGAAGACAAGTGTCCACATACAATATTGGTAGAATTTTATAATTTTTTATAACAATCCATAAGAACTAGCAAAAAGCATAGTTCCACAAAGTATTCAATATAGATTTTTTATTGATTTATAAAAGATGTTTAGGGATCTGCCCTTGCTGTATACATCTCCAAATGACCTTGATCTTAGCTGAAGGCACAGGTAGTTTTAGAGATTTCCTTGGCTGATTCCTCACCAGAGCAAACTGTTTTGAAATGATTATAGCAGTGTAAGGAAGATATGGTTTTTGTACATGATCCTGCTGAAATCATTTAAATCTTCTCAAATTTTCTTTTCTTTTTTATTTTAAATGACACCTATCTTGCCAGTAAGTCAGGCACCTTGTAGGTGAGGCATTTGATGATTTTCCAACTTTGTGCACCATATCCATTAAATTTCCTGTTATTTTATATTTATCAGTAAGACAAAGGGAATGAAAACTAAAATAATTCAATAAAACAGTTTCTAAGTGAAAACAGTCCGTGTTTATTCTACATAATATTATACCACACAGAGTTCATATTGTTTAAGTTTCTCTGGAAAACCAATGAAAAATAATAATTGATTTTAATTAGTAAAAATTCTGTTGAACAAAGACTTTGTGTATTATAAAGTCACTTGTCTAAATCTAATATGGATTTTCATTTGGTTTTTAAAGTTTGTTTACATGACTTAATACAGAGGAAATTCTTTCCCTGAAGATTTATTTTAAATTCTCATGAAATGTCACTCATTAAATTGTCTTAAAGGTTATACTTTATTTGGAGTCCTGACTGAAAGTATTTCAACACATATACTTTATCCCTTAGTGTTTGAATATTCCATTTCCTTTGGTTCTCTTGAGTGTTAAAACAAATTGAATATAATATGACTTCAAAGTGTAAAACTAAACTACAAAAAGTTACTCTTGATGTTCTCAATAGATTGTGTGGAAACACTGGCTTTTCATTTCTCATAAATGAGAAAATTATGAGATGGAAATCTTTTCAAAATGTTTACATATGAAATTTGGGATAATTTTGACAGCCAAAATTAAAAAAAAAAAACTTTTTGTAATTGGTGTTTGATATGCAATGATTTTAGTATGCGAATATAGAATATCAGTATATATTAACTCACTAAAAATAGATTCTCATAAAATTTGAGGGCTCTCCTGTTACTTTATCTTTGTTGTTCTCATTTTTATTATTTATTTATCATTGCAGATTAAAAAAATCAACAGAAACTTTCCTGTAAACCAGCAGGTAAGATGAAGAAATAATTGGAAAGCGAAATCATTTTATCTATTATAGAAGGTAATCCTGATGGTATTTAATATATATGTAGAAATAATTGGTGCTATTATTTGCTATCTTTAGGAAAATACATAATTTATCAGATTTCCTTCATAGTATGTGACATATCTCTTTCTCTAATCATATTAAAAGCGATATTAAAAAACTTTTAAGTGCACTAAGTCAAAACTATTTTTGCCAAAATAATTGTATTTATTTGAATACAATGTTGAAGAATTTGGAGAGCTATTTACATAAGATAGTTTTACTATATCAACATTTTGGAGACGTATGTTTAATTGATCTAAAAGTTAAAGAGAATTTTCAAAATTAGCTGACAGTATTTCGAGTGAGTCTGAGTTAATGCAATAGAATAGAATTTAATGAAAATAATATCTGATTAATCCAGGAAAGAATTTAGTTATAGACTAAATAGCTTATAGACAATTATTCTATAATTGATTACAGAATAAAATAATTGATTATAGAAAATAACTGATTCCACTTATAGTTTTATTGCGGTAAACAACTTTTGCATGCTTTCATAAACATAATAAAAACATTAGTTTGAAGGAGAAAAGCAAGCGTAGGCTCAGCTTTTGGACTCAGACTGGCCCTCGGTGTGTCAGGGTCCTGTGACAGGGGAGCTGCAGTGGGGGGCCATAAGCGCCTCACTCTTGACATAGACCTCAGTTTGCAAACACTGGTCAAAATCTAAATATCTAAGATATCTATTTACAAACGGTTCACTAATCACAAGTTAACTTCAATGGTAAAAATTTTAAAGTAGTCTTCAACTTAGAAAAACTAGCTTATTTTTATCTAAACCTCAGTTCCCTCACCTGTAGCATTTGTATAAGTGCAACTATCTTACATGTTTATTTTTGAGGATTAAATGATGACAAATGTAAAGTTCTCAATGTACACCATTATTATCAATGATGTGTTAAATTTTTTAACTCATTCTTTGGAATACAGAATTTATGTTCTTGTATAAATTATGTTGTTAATAATGTCACTAGCCCAGACTAGCCCGCAAAGCCGTGTGTGATGAAATACTACTGAGAACAGCTTTGGAGAGCTCAGTGTGTCTCCCGTCTCTCAACTGTCTGTCCAGCCCTAGGCATACCCTGCTTCCTACCTGCAGGTCCTCACTCCTGCACCAAGTTGGTGTTTCAGATTAATGCAGAGGTTGCAGAGATGTGTGTGTCTCATCACGTTCACAGCAAGCTGTGGTTGTATTTGAGTCCTTTGTTTACAGGGCAGAGACCAGGGCTCTACCCCAGTGCTTCTGATCCACTAACTCTGTGATGGTGCCTGGGAAACTCCCTTTGTAGCTCCCATCTCATCCCAGTGATTCTGAGGCTGATAGAGCACAGGCGATATCTTGGGAAACACAGTTGAACAGTTTCATAGGGCTGAGGTAGGGGAAAAAAGTTATTCATGAGAAATTATTGAAATGGAAAGAAGCATTGGGGGAAGGTTGTAATGTCCATCAGCAGACATGGTCATTTTATAGTCAGATATACAAAAATGTAGATCTACTCATTTTGGGAATTCTTGCCAAAAATATAAATAGTGAATGTTTCTTTAAGAATGATTCTAATATCTGCGTTATCACGCTTCCTTGCCCTTTCTAACCTCAACATGTGAAGTGTTAATAGTTAGTGTAATTGTGTTACTATTAGTGTTCTTGATTTACAATGACAGCTACATTTAACACTTCCTACATAGGCCCTTCACTGATGTGCAGCGTTCCTTGTCAGCTCTGCATTTATCGAATGATACTGAGTGAAGTAAATAAGAATTTGGAAAAACTTACATATAGAATAATAAAAACTGTTGAATATTCTAACACATACTTATATATAATAAACAGGTAAGTTTTAGTATTCATGGCTTTTTTATTTGTTAGCCTTTTAATATTAGTATTATACTGAAATTTTATTTCAAATCTCTTAGCATCTCACAATTTTGATATCATAATGAATTCTTCTTGGCATTTTAAAATCCGAAAGCAAGAGTTAATAGATTTTTCCCTTCCTGCTTTCCATTATGTAAATGAAGACTTTCAGGAAATAGGATTAGTTTTGTAGTTCAACTTTCATATATATGCATAATAGGAAAAACTCATCTGCATAGTGTGATAACAATGCATTAGGAGACCAGGGTACATTCGCTACTTAATAAAATCTGAACCACTTTAAGGAATAAAAATTTAAAAACACATATAATCTCATTTCTCATCCATATTTACCATTTAAACAGGACTCTTACTTCAGACTAAACCATATTGTGTTGCTTTCATCTCAAATTTCTTCCTAACTTAATTTTCATGTAGAGTTCTCTGAAGCTTAGATTGGATATAAATATACATATTCATACAAGTACCTTTGATTAAATAATTCAGACATACATTAAATATTCAAGTGTTATACAACGGAAATCAGGCCCCTTCACACCCCTGATGCTCGAGGTCTCAAAAACGAAAAAAAGACGTCACCCAAGATACATTAGAACATAAGTCTTCTGCTTCCTGTGGGGTTTGGTTTTGAATTTGTGCTCCCCATATGGTACAGCCACTCCAACCAGAAAAATTAAAATAAAATAAAAACATAAAGGGGTCTGGTACTGGAGAAAGTTCTGCTGTCCAGCAGAGGCCAGTGCTACAGATTAGCTCTAAAGAGACACGCCC